GACCCTGATATAAATTTTGCTGATTAAATGTGTAACTGATCATAGAAATTTTGAAGTATTTCTTCAGTAGGGTAATAAAATGTAATAGATTAATATTTTTTGAAACCTCAAACCTGACCTTATTCTATTTCAGAAAGCTTACTCTGATGAATCATTCTTGTCATTATTTCTGCTGTCCAAATTCTGGATTAAAAAATAAGATTACTTAACAATTCACTGTTCAAAGAAAGAAAGAAAGAAGGGGCTGTGCATTGTTGCTTCTTCATCTCTGGGTATGCAGTTTCCTAGGTCTTCATCTGGTACCTCTATCTCCACCATTATGTATGTCTTAGAACAAGTTCAGAAGTCATATGAGCATGACATGCTTTGTAATACTTTGTGAAAAAGTCATATTGAAATAATTTAAGTGCTGGAAGACACTATGAAGTTTTTTTTTGTTGTTTGTTTGCTTTCCTAGTCTAGCTCACACAATGGGAAACATGGGAAATCTAGGAGAAAAGGAATCTTGGAATTTGCTTTGGCAGGGGGATCATCATAGTTCCTTGTAGACTGCCAGGACTTGGCAAAAGGAAGGTTTGAGAAATATGCCTGAGCCTGGAGATAGGGTGCTGATTGATAGCTTTATTAATGATTCATGTTTGTTTTGCATCAGAGGCTCTCAGGTGCCCTCAGTCACAATATCATAACAAGCTGGTGTGTTGAACTTAGACGCAAGGAGTATTGTAACCAATATATTACCAGTGATTATAGTACCAATGCTTGCAAATGCTCTTCCTTAAAGTATTTCTAAGAGGAAAAAGTTGCAAATATAGTACAATGAACACTCCCTCAAATCATCTGAGAGTACATCGCCAACCTGATATCCCCTCATCCCTTAATACTCTAATGTGTGTTTCCTATAGACAAGGACATTCTCTTAGATAACCACAATACAACCATCAAAATCAAAAATTCGTATGCTATATTACTACCATTTAATCCTCAGGCTCCATTCAAGTTTTGTCATGTGTTCTTTCACAGAAAATGGATCTGGTTCAGAATCAGGTAGTGCCTTTTGTTGTCATCTGTCTTTACTCTCCTTTAATCACAGCAGTTTCCCAGTTTTTCTTTGACATTTGTCATTTTGAGACTTAAAGTCCACAAGCCATTTATTTTGTAGAATGTCTGTTAATTTGTTTTTTGTATGATGCTTCCTTGTCATTAGGTTGTGTACTTCAGCAGAAATACCACAGATGTGATGCTGTGTTCCTTTCACATTAGGTGCTATGGTTTCAATTTGCCCCATTATTGATGATCTCCACATGGATCATTTGATTAAGGTGGTGTCCACCTGCAGTGTTGCTTTGGTAATTAATGAGCATTTTGTGGGGGAGACACTATAAACTGTAAATATCTCATTCTTCATCAAAGTTTCGATTTGTTCATTTATTATTTTATGTCAGGGTGGGCTCATGATTTTCATTTTATCTGATAGGTTATATCCTATCATTATAATTATTGATTTTGATGCTGAATTATCCCAGTTAACCAGAGTGGGCCACTATAAGCAGACTTCTGTGATATACTGATATATTCCCCTCTTTCTTAAATACTTCCTTGTTTTCTGCCAGCAGAAAAGTTCCCAAACCATTTTTTCCACATTTTTAAACATTTAAACAATTTTTGATTAACATATAACAGCTGTACATATTTATGGGATACAGTGGGATGTTTCAATGCATGTATAAAGTATGTACTGATAAAGTAAAGGGAAATTAATATTTTCCATCTTCTTACCATTACTTTGTGTTTGAAGACTTCCAGCTCCTCTGTTGCAGTTATTCATAAAATATACAATAGGTTATTGTGAACTTTAGGCCCCTCATTATTCTGTAGAACACCAGAACTTATTACTTCTATCTAATTGTAGCTACTACCGAAGGCAAATCTTGTATTTTTCCTGGTTCCACCCTGCAATCAGCCATTTTTTCAAGAAGTTCTGGTTTCTTTTAGTGGAGAATGTACATGCATAGATACATATGTGTATCTATACTTGATATAGAAAGTGAAGAGGTGAAACCCATGTTTGTAATTTTGATCTAACATCATGGGGTCTATTCTAGTCTTCTCTCTTTTTATATCTGTAGCCCCCTTCTGTAATAGTGAGAAGCCTAGATGTCATTATCTTAAGTCTGCTTACTTTTTAAATCAATCCCTGTGTGCAGCCAGTCTCCCATTGTTGCTGTTGTCCCCTCCCCTGTGTGGATGGCCTCCTTACCTGCTCAGGCCACACAGGCACCCAGTCTGCCCTCTGCAAACCTTCCTTCCTCATCCTGCTTGGGCCTGACATCCCATCTGAGCCACCAAGTTCTCTCCATCCCCAAGATACAGATGCCTAACTTTCTCTCATGTTGGCTTTAGGACGTAACTATTCAGGAACAGAAAGGAAGGGAAGGGAAAGAAAAGGGCAAATAGAAAGAGCTGCAAATAATTAAAAAAACAAATTATAGAAAATTATCTTTCACTCGTGTCTGATATATTTCTTTTCCCCTCTAGAATATAAGCCCTATAAATTGGAGTCAATCCATATTACTTATTGCTATATGTSTAATACCTAGCATGTCTCCCCACAAAAAGTAGATATGTTTAAAATTTTTCAAATAAATGAATGAGTGAATATAGTATAAGAGAAAAAAAGAGCCTCACAGCTACCACATTTGGCAATGTATATAACATATAACTAGATTCTCCAAACCTCAGCCATAAATCCAGCTGTGGGCCACATTCTAGTACAAGGCACATGGTGGGTATTCAGGAAATACTTGTGGAGTAGACAGATCACAGGGGTTATCTCATACATACAATTCATCTGACATGTTTGTCACAATGGAGGAAAAAGGTCAGGAACTGCTATTTTGTTTTACTTATTTATTTATTTTTGTGGTGTTGGGGATCAAGTTCAGGATCTTGTGCATGCTAGGCAAGCTACCTCAGCCCTAGGGGAATTACCATTTTAAATGATGATACAGGCTTATTAAATTTTTAAATAATCCTGGCTTAATGAATAAGCTGTTGTTCAATTTGAACACAGCAAACACTTAAGAGTTAGAAGATGTTTGTTACATAAGTGAAGTGTAATTATTAGAGGTAGAAATGGAGTTGGATAAATATAAACTTGTACATGTGAAGAAGAAAAAAGGAAGTGAATAATTAAAATATAGGCTAAGACTTACTGTGTGTAAACAGATAGAAGAGATCTGTGGGTCCTGACAGAGATAACACACTAATGATAAAGGGAAGATGCTAAAGAGCAAAGGGCCTGCTCTGCTCATAATCTGATTGCCTTTATAGGTTGAGAATGGCTCTTCACGAGGCCCTAAATAACTCAGCAAGACCCTGTCTCTAAATAAAATACAAAAAGGGCTGGGGATGTGGCTCAGTGGTTGAACACCTCTGATTCAATCCCTAGTACCACTGGTATTAAAAAAAAGGCTCTTCATTTCAAGTTTTGTGACATAATTAAAATAAGTTGTTAACATAATTCAGTAGCTTCTAGTTCCTAGTGGCTATGCTTCCTCCTTCTTAGGTAGCAGGAGGTCTTTTCAAACTAAAATTGTTCATTTACCTCCTCCACCTAGGAGGCATGTAAAAAACAGGTCCTACAAATTTTTAATCTGAAATATTTAGACAATTTCACATCAGTCTGAAAGAATCATTGTGCATCTATCTATTCAACAAACATTGGTTGCATACTCTGCAAGGTGCTGTCATAGGTTGCAACAAGTAGAATGCAGAGGGGCAGGTAGAGTTGCTATCCTCATGGAGTTTGCAGCCTTGTAGCAGGGGATAGTGGGGACACAGTAGAGGATAAAGAGACAGGTTTTAGAGTAACCTGTATGAGGCAAAGTGGGAATTTGGATATTTTAGAGCAATGAATTAGTCCTTCAGACCGCATGCTGCTCACTGCTTTTGCTTCAAATGTTGTAACTCCACAAAACACACTTCCAGAACAGACAGAAATAATATTTTTGTTATCCACCCTGTTCTCTGACTCACTAGGGCAGATAGTTGGGCAGCGGTTACCATTCACTGCATTTGATACTGCTGATCCAGACTAGTTAATTGTCTAGTTTGGGGCTCCATATATGAGACATAATTGCTAGACTATTAAAAATAATTCCTAAGAGGGAAATGGTTAAAATGATAAGATTATTAAGTTGATAGAGGGAGGTTGCTGGTGATTTAAATAATGGCTTTCAGATTTTTGAAGTGTATATGACTTACTAAATTACATGACTGGTATCAGGCCTTTGGTCTCAAATCCAGGAACTTCTCTCTGGATTTGAGACCAAAAGTATTTGAAGTAGTCATATAGTCATGTCCCCCCCTCCCACCAAAAAAAGTAGGATTATTATCAATCTTAGTAATATGTTGATGCTRTAGTAAAATGAATGTGCAAATAAGACAACGTGTATTATCAGGGCTGGGAGCACAAATAAGTTTAGAAGCACAGACACAAATTTCACTTTTAGTTTCTAAAGTATTTCCAAGTTGAACATTTCTAAGTTTAGATCTCAGGAGAAAAAAAAAAAAAAAGGTCCCCTGAGGCCACATGCAGAGGAAGGGCTGTAGACACAGACTGACTAACATTCTGTTTCCTGCTTTTTATTTGATTTTATTCTTTGAGGAAAAAAAAAGATATGAAAATTGCTGATGGGCAGGCCAGCCTGGGGCTACTATACTTGGGCTTTGAAAAGATGCTGTAGTCTGTCTCTTTGTGATTATGTGTGCTGCTGTATAGAGCAAGGAAAACAGAACCTAGAGGTGGGCTCCCCATGTTCTACAGCTACAAGCTCCATTTTTGTCAGTTAATGTACTGTTTCTTTAACTGACAGTCGACTGACATTTATTGGGACACCACTATGTGCCAAGGTGCTTTTTAAAAAATATTTTTATTAGTTATTGATGGACCTTTATTATTTTACTTAATTGTTTATATGTGGTGCTGAGAATCAAACCCAGTGCCTCACACACGCTAGGCAAGCGCTCCACCTCTGAGCCACAATCCCAGCCCCCAAGGTGCTTTTTCATAAGGTCCAGCTGGGTGAGAAAGAGACTGGGACAAGGGATAAAGCCAGAACTTGGGAACCCAACAGGGGTTAGTGGGGATCACATGCTCACCCCCAGGACCTGATCTGAGCATTTTCATAGACATTCTGAGTACTTCCCTTTATAGAAAATAGGAGAATTTTCTTCTTACATATTTTCCATTCTTATCAGTTCAAATTTTTTTTTTTCATGTGTCCTAGTAACCATATATTTCATTTTCTACCCATCTGCATTCCTTGCCCCTCCCCATTTGGTCAGGGGAGAACTCATAAATGTCATTGGTTACAAATCCACTTTCCACACTTGCCATAGTCACAAACCCGCTTTCTGAAGGGTTCACAGCTATGTTGTCATAGTCACAAGACATGTTGTCAGGAGTGGCTTCTCCTGAACACACCCGGAATGAAATGTTCTTCAGGTCTGGACGGGGCTCAGCTAAATCGGCTTCACTTTGTTTTCTTATGACGTTGTAAACCTCTAGGTCTGGGCTGTGTTCTTGGTGAGGAGAGGGCCAGATGTTGTGTTTTCCTTTTATGCTAGGGTCTGCCTGTTCCCGTGTCCTGGGAGGGGGAGAAACAGGGTTGAGTATTTGAAACCAGGCAATTGAGGTGCTCCCCTGAGAACATCTCTGAGCTTCCTGAAAGCAGGAGGAAGTATACCCTGGTGGTTCCTCAAAGTGTACTTCTTACTTACCAAAACCTACAGGCCAGGGCTTTGGGGAGGGAGGAGGACAAACCAGGAAAGTGTTAAGTTCAAAGCAATTATGTATATGTCATTCACTGAGGCCAGAGAGTGGGACACAGGTTTCTATCCTGGGCACCCAGAGTCCTGGGAGGGTCCAGGGATAGAATTTTATGGGCAAAAAATGTCACTCTTTTCAAAACTCATCTATAAGTGAAACATAGCATGGCCTTCCATGATGAATATAGTTAATAAACCAGAGTAGAATTAAAAATATCTTTGACTTGATCAACATCAGGAATCATAACTATTTTCATATCATATCACAGTTATCACAGTTGCTTCATCTCAACTTCAAAATTATAATAATTATACCCATCACTAAATAAAGAGCAATTAATAAAAAGCACATGAAAATGCTGTGTCATGTATTCATTTTTGGAAATATTTTTGCTAAACAATATAAAAGTCTAATTGTTTCCTTTGCAACCCAATGTAAATTTTATGCATTTAAAAATTTTGTTCTGGGAAAAGGGCCACAGGCTTCACCAGACTGCTACAGGGGTCTATGGCWCAAAGAAAGGTTAAAAACCCTTGGAGAGATAGACTCAAGCATGAGTTACTATTCCCAAATCCTGGCGAGGTGCTACATAGATAAAGAAGGGAAATGAAGAATCAACTGCAGAGTAAGCAGTTGAAAAATATATTTGTAATTTTTGAACTGAATTCTACTTTTAGATAAAAACGATCAGAATAATGGCTGACATTTTTGAGTACTTATCAGATGCCCACTCTGCATGTATTCATTGCTTTGATGCTTGTAATAAGCCCTTAAGGAAGTTGAAAAGTTGTTCATCAGAATCTTACTAATTAGTTTCAGATTGGTCATCAAAGGAAGCCAAAACTTAAATTGAACCTTTTTCTATCGTAAATGGGAATACTAGCCTTCTATGAATACCATGATCCTGGGAAATGAAAAGGTAACTGAGAACAATTCTGTGTGCCTAAAAAATAGGGACACTGATCCTGCCTGAAAACAGAGGTTATCTATACTATCTAGTGTTTTGAACCAATCTACTCCTATGCAATCAATTTTTTAAAAGTCAGTTAAAAGGAATTTGGCTCTTTCATTCTGAACGAAGTGGCTCTGTTTCAGAGGCTTACCAGAATGCTTGGGAACAGTCATTCTTCACATGGCCTACCAGTCATTCCTTACTCAACACACTTTTGGAACCAGGACCTATATTTGTGAGAACACTTTTGCTGGGTGATATGTGGGTACACAGGAAGTGAATAACATAGTTTCACTTTTCAAATTGTTTAAAATCTTCCACATACTCCAAAATAAAGAATGTAATATCACTCTCTTAATCTCTGAATACTCTGAGCCTGCCAGATAATTTACTCTCCAATCTACAGTGTCCATTCTCTTGGGGCTTCTGTGACTTTTAATGAAGTAAACAGGGCAATATCCAAATATTCACAATGGCAGAGGACACAAAGGTTTACATAAAGAAGGTTTTACTTGCCTCCTTCTGTAGATCCAAACCCAACATATGACTGTGGTGACCACAAGGAGGAGGAGAAGGGGAATGCTGGGGATTAGGATGTAGGCAAGATTCAAGGAAGCTTCTGAAAAGAAAAATAGCACACTATCAGCATTGGTGATTTTTTTTTTTTTTTTTTTTTTTGGCATGTGTGTGTGCTTCAAACCTGGCTTCAAAAGGTATCATCAAGGGGCTGGGGTTGTGGCTCAGTGGTAGAGTGCTTGCCTAGCATGTATGAGGCGCTGGGTTCGATCCTCAGCACCACATAAAAATAAATAAAATAAAGGTATTGTATCTATTGACAACTAAAAAATATATTTAAAAAATTTTTTAAAAAGGCCTAACCAAATACAGGGTATTCCAGAGAGCACATTCCTAGGAGGTAGATGTAGAATTGCCCAGTTAGTAAAGCATCTTCTAGTTTCATTAAATATTTCTTTTTTTAGAGAGAGAGAGAGAGAGAGAGAGAGAGAGAGAGAATTTTTTTAATATTTATTTTTTAGTTTTCAGCAGACACACATCTTTGTTTGTATGTGGTGCTGAGGATCGAACCCGGGCCGCACGCATGCCAGGCGAGCGCGCTACCGCTTGAGCCACATCCCCAGCCCCTCATTAAATATTTTCTACCTGTCCTTTTACCCTAAGTAATAATAATGAAAATAATTTTAATTTTTTGAGTCTTGCAAATACCAAAAGGGTACTTTTTATAATTCAAAGAGATTATTTTTTGGAGAAAAGATATTCTTTCTTCCCTTGTCCTTCGTAGCAAAGCAGAGACTATGGGTGCAGTATTGATGCCTTGGCCTCTGAGAGCAGCCATGGTAGTTCCCAGTGTAGGGGTTGGGGAGAGGAAGCAAAAAAGAATCCAGTCAAAAGTCCTGGGGTCATTATTGCAAAACAGAAGTTCACAGAGTACACAAATTAGACTTAAATGCTTCCCAACATTTCTAACTAAGACCAACTGGCTTCAGTTGGGTTCATGAGCAGTGACTGTGAAATTCTCTTAGAGGTCTTCTTTTCTGTACCTTTTAGTCCTTTAAGACTTAGAACCAACAATAAGGTTTTGTGAGGAAGCAAGAATTTTAGACTAACTTCCTTCCTGCTCCCACTGATCTAAGTTTCCAGCCATCCAGTGTCTATTACTGTTTTTTTCCCCCTGTGAAGCTGCAAACCTGACAACCATCAAAAACCAAAACCAAAATACTCCAAAAATCCTCTTTAAGTACCACTGTAATATCAAAGAGCAATAAAAATGCCACACACCTTTGCATAGCATTTTATTTTTTTTCTATCACATATTACGTTTGTTGTATCATAAAAAAAAATGCCCCTGGTTCCTGGGAGGGAGGGTCTAAATACTTGAATTTCCCAAGTAATAGAATTGACTTCGTTATTCATGAGCATCTTGGATGGTACTAGAGTTTATTGTAAGGACCTGTCCAAGACAGTGGTGGCAGGTATCTGTGGGGGGCTGGCCACACAAGAAAACTGGACAAGTGATTTTTGGGTGGGGGCTCTGAGCCTGATGACATCAGCCTGACCTCCTTTGGAGACTGAGTCACACCACATGACTGGTGATAAGATCTACCCCACCTAAGTAACCAATGAAACTCCTGTAAACCCCCTGGACACCAAAGATCAGTGGAGCTTCCTGTATACATCAGTATGCCAGGAGGAGGATGATACATTCTGATTTCACTGGGAGAGAACATGGAAGGGCCCAATTAGAACTCCTTTAGACCTCACCCCATGTTCTTTTCTTTGGCTGTATCCTAAGTAATAAAATGCCTAAGTATGTACAGTGTTTTCCTGAGTTCTGTGAGTTGTCTTAATGAATTTTTGAACTTGAGAGAGGGTTGTAGGCACCCTTGGAACTGTAGCCAATTGGTCAGAAGAGGTGTGACCTGAGGATCCCTAAACTTGTGGGTAATGTTTGAAGTGAGGGCAGTTATGGACTGTGCCTTTAAGCTGTGGGGGGTGGGGGGAGTCTGTGCCAACTCAGATGGTTAGTGTCAGAACTGCAACATTCTATTTCATTTTATGGACACAGTAATGTTCCCAGGTAGCTAAGAAAAATATTATTACTTCTATTATGCAAATGATTACACTGAAGCACAGAGAACTTAAGTGTTTTTTTTTTAAAGTTGCCCAGTATCAAAAACCCAGATTTTCTTCTTGAAACTCAGTGTGAGGGTGAGGTTGAAAGTCCATTAGCACGCCAATTTATCACTCCATTTTCTTTTACCTTTTATGATCTTTTAAAAATGTTTTGGTCCATTTCCTCTATTTCACAGATGGCTATTCATCACAGGTGTTATGCATTGTGGTGCAGGTCTTTCCGCTCTTCTGTCTCTGCATCCATTCTCTCAGTCCCAGCCCTATCCCACCTCTAGCCTAAGACCAAGGGGCTTTGTCCTCCTGCAGGTCTTTTACTTCCTGACTAGTCTGATCTCCTCAATTGTCTTATGATAGCTCTATTTGCATATTTCACKGATGAAACCTAACCTTAAATACAGTTTTGGCAAAGTCACAGATAACGGTCTAATTCCATTTTTAAGGAGCTGTGGGAAAGAACAAAATAGGGAATATAACCATATAGTAAAGCAATCAAGAGAGTCTCATTGTCTGTTTTCCCYAAGTGAACTCTGTACATACCTTTACTTTCTTTAAATGTTTCTTTGGCATCTTCTTTCTGTGTTTCCTCTGGAATTGTGGGTGTTGCTGGCTCTATTCTTTCACCTGGAGAGAGACACATGGACTTGAGAACTTGGAAAAAGGAACTTTAATGCAGATATTCTCTGAGGTCCTACCATGTGTAAAGTGAGATGCTAAATAGCAGTAGCAACCTGGCCATCGACACTTATATACATAGCAAAGTAAAGATATAAATTTTACTGTCGTTAGGTGAGGGTCAGGCAGTAAAACAAGTGACAGGCAGCTGRCTTAATAGCCACATGGAGGAGTGAGGTGCCGAGAGGAAGGGCCAGTGACTCTCTGCTAAGACCATTCTGTTTGGCTCATTTCTTGTCTCATTAAATTAAATAATTCCCTTCCTATTGTCAATAATAATAAATAATATCTCAAACTGAATTTGCTACTGTTGTTCTTCAGTTTTGAAAGAGACAATACCAAAGAGTGAGAATAATGGACTCATCATAGCTGGATGTGGTGCATCCAAATTGTCTGGGTTAACACCAGCATCTTCTGTCGAATAATCTGGTCTAAAGAACTGATTCTAACTCAATGAAGAGGGGCTGAGTTAACTCAAATCTCAAATGACAGCCTTACCTCCAGGTCTTGTGGAAGGAGCAGTTGGTTTCTCTGCAGAAATAAAAATGAAAATAATAACAAAACTTTCCTGCCATCTGAATAAAATCAGCTAGAGTATAGCAACCATTTCCAATAAACTTTATTGTAATCAGATTATTTTCTGTTATCAGATACCAGGACTAGGTTCATTAAATCAAAAGAATTGCTTCTGCATAAAGACTAGCCTTCCCCAGCTTTACTTAGGTGTTTTTTCTTAAAAAAGAAAACTATTCAAAAACTTTAAATATGAGAATTTCTAAATATACACCAAAGTAGAAAGTCTGTATGATGAATCCCTGTGTGCTGTGATGTAGCTTCTGCTTCTATCAACGTATAGCTCATCTGATTTCAACAGAAAGCCCTACTTCCATACTTACACTCCTGAATTATTTTACAGCAATCCAAGACATTTTAGCAACTCATATTGCAGATGTTTCAGAGAGCAACAAGCACTGATTTCCAAGCAATAAAAGTGGTTGAGGGACTGGCTAGCCCCAAATCAAAAACTGGTGATTGGCCTTGAATTATTTTAAATAGTTCCAAGAGCTTGGGGAAAGTGAGGTTGCACAGACAACCTATGTCAAATGTTTTGGCTTCTGACTGAACTGTTGTATTGACAATGAGTCACTTAGGCTATTTAGATGCCCTGGAGTTGATAGTGACAGGGTTCTTAGGGGCAAAACTTTAGAATTCACATTCCTAAGGCTCAGATGGCAAGCTTATTCTGAAGTTTCATTCAGAAAGGACAGAAGTTTTTAATCATCTTCCTATAAGTGTGTGTACATAGAGGTGAAGCAAATATATTTATTTTAAAACTCACTTATATAATGTCTACAAATGATAGAAACTATTCTAAATGTTTTATAAGAACAAGCTCAATCTCGATAATGACCTGACGAGGGAGTCAGGTTTTTGGTTTTTCTACATGAGGAAACCAAAAGTCAGGGAGATTAAATAACTTGCCCAAATTTCATAACCAATAAGTTGCTAAACTGGAATTTCAACCAATTCAAATAAAAATTAATAAATTCAAATAAAAGTTAAAATAGTAAGGAGATATAACTGTGCCATGCAACAGCAAATGAGAAATAATCCTGGCCCTCAAAGGAGCTTATATTTGACAAGATGGCCATAAAATATGGACATATAGGAGAATATTAATTCATGTTAATTTCATGATATTACATTGAAATGCATAGTATATTCAGTGACATTTAATGATCTATTCGTATTGTTGTTCCTCCATAATYCAGTCTACTGTGCAAAATTGCAGTAAACATGGCACCTCGATGCCATGCATCTGCCATACATCTGAGTAGTGCATCTGCTATACCTTGAATGGTTTCTCTCTAGTTTTCCCTGAATATCCCTGTGCCTTTACTGTATTCCTGGAATAATCAAATATTCAGGTCTGGCTTGCATGCCATATGGCCACATTCTCAACCCTAGTTTTAGAGATGATAACTGACCCAGTCTCTTGCTACTGTGGCATGATAGGACAGAATGTCATCTTTTGGGAACCACAGAAGTGATCTTCCCCTAGTTCATCAGTTGGCTAGACAAGTATATTTCCAGACTTCTTGTAAGCATATAGTGAAAGGGACAAACCTGGAAACGGGAAGTGAAAGTACTGTGGTGCTCTGGTTCTCACAGGAGGATCACCTAACCTTGAGGGGTCCTGGAAAGCTTCTCCAAGGAAATTATTTTGAAATAATTTCAGATTTATGTAAATTTATAAGAATAGTACAAGAAATTCTCATATATCTTTCACCTTATTATTTTATTATATTTCATTTGCTTAATTATTATCTGTATCAATCATCTACCTATCTCTATATGCTTATATCTATATATATCTATATATATACATAGATGCTGAATTTATAATATACATATATTTATATATATACAAATATGTAACTTTTTTCCAAAAAGAAAGTTTCAGACATGGTATCCCTCTACTCTTTTTTTTAAGAGAATTTTTAATATTTATTTTTTAGTTTTCGGCGGACACAACATCTTTGTTTGTATGTGGTGCTGAGGATCGAACCCGGGCCGCACGCATGCCAGGCCAGCGCGCTATCGCTTGAGCCACATCCTCAGCCCCAAGTATCCCTCCACTCTTAACAACTTCAATTTATATTTAAAGGGGAGAGAGGCATTCTTTTATACTATATCACAATCCATTGATCAAAACCAAGATAACATTGATATAATACTATTATCTAATCATATGCACATTCTGCCAATTGTCCTAATATTATCATTTATAGAAAATTGTCATCATCACCGTCACCATCATCATCATTATCATCATGGTCTGTAACCCAATCCAGTATCACTTGTTTTACTTTGTTGTTATGACTTGTGTTACTTAGTTGTTTAGTAAGTTCTAAATAGTCTGAGCGTCTGGGTTCTTGCCCTGATGCTCAGACTATTTAGCCAGACACTGCTGCTTAACCTGAACATGAAAGGTGAAAACAAATTCAAAGGGAGAGGGAAAATGTGTTCTACACACAGGAAACAACAGTTAAGTCTCTTGGGGAACTAAACTAGCAGAAAGGCATTAGGATAGGATGGGGAGAGGTGTTAGAATGGTGAGAACTGAGACTGATCTTGTCCACTCTTTTTTCAGCATACTGAATAATATGAACTTATGCTGAGGATGGGAGGCCACATAAAGGCAATGTGTTAGTTCTTTGCCATGTGCCTATCTCCCACTATTGGATTCATTCTGATCTGGGCTGATCTCTATGGACTGTTTCACTGGGAATCCTTTGCTTTCTTATTAGACATAACCAGTGGGAGGCAAAGCAGGAGATCAGAAGGTAGGAGAGAGAGGTCACAGTATTTATTCTTCATGGTCCCCTGCTTATCAGCATAATTTTACAATAATTGTATTTTGTGGTTACCATTTCTGTTGAGTGGATTCTTTTTTTATGACCTCAAGCCTTTTCTGGATTCTGTTAAAAGATTCTCTCCTTTTGCCCTTTTAGGCCTAGGAGTGGTAAGAKCTTCCCATTGTAGTTAGTCTCTGGGTACTTTACCATCTCCTGCTCTTTGCCTACCACTTCTGCAAATATCCTTTTTACTTTACTCTCCTAGTAAAATCTTTGTGTATGCCATATTTTTCTGGACAGAACTCAGTCTAACTAATATGAGCAATAGCAAAAGTAATGATGAATATGATTTTTTAAAGAAAGGAACCAAGCTAAAAAATAAAAGAATATTAAAGCAAATTTCAAAATCTCACATTTCAAAAAATGTTTAAAAAGTAAAAATGTTTAGCCATGGAGTTAATATAATAGAATTAATAGGAATAATGGAAAGCCAGTTTGTAACAAGTGTTTTCCTTTCACTGATCTTTGAAGGTGACCTTGATAAGCCAGTCTAGTTCTTTAAAACCTCCCAGCCTGAGACAACTCAGTATGGTAGGGAGAATCTTGGTATGGTCACTGTATAAAAGAATTTGTCTAAGAGATGAAGAAGGAAATATATCTTTTAGCAGCAAAAGTTACCCCCGGAGCATAGTCCAATTTAAAAAAATTTAAATGACAGGATTCTTAGTCCCAAACTAGATATAACTAACAAGTCACTCTACTCCTGTCAGGAAAGAATGCAGAACTGGGGCCAAGAATTTGGCTTCAGGGAGGTGAGAAACTTCAGGGATAGATCAAGAATCAGTTCAAGTTTAGATCTATGTCAGTTTTAATAAAGGAGTCTGGGAAACCTCAGCAGGGTGAGACTGGATTTATAGCCAATTTGAAACTCTTAAAGATCTAGAAGCAAATGCAAGTTTAGTTTGCAAGACATATAGACAGTGGGTAGCCTGGGGAATTTAAACTTGATCATCAGTGTGCCTGCTATTTTTTCCTGGTGCCAGTAAAATTGGTGTATTTTATCTTCTGCCTCCTCTGGTTATTAGTGTGTTTCTTTAAATTCTGAGAAAATAATCTCACATAGCTGTTAGAAGATTTGTAGGAGCAATGGTCAGCTTATTCCAAGCTCCTACAGCCAACTGTGCATGTAGAATGAGTAAGAATTTTTGTTTGTCCAGAGAGAGAACTTTTTTCTTTCTGGATGTTCTCATAAATCTTGCTTTATCACACATGAAATATATTCTTTCTTCTTTTCATCCATTCTCTTAGCATCTGATAACCTTTCCTTTCCTAGAATTATTACTCAGTGAGGAAGTATCATTACATATCTCTTTACAAGAATTCCTGAAGTTTATCATTGCTGGCATTTGTGATAAGCATTCTTAGTGACCACATACCAAATTCTTGGTACAAGCAGCTGCTTATGAAATAAGAGAGGAGGTTGAGAATTCCACTTGGGAGAGCATTCATTACCATCAAAATATTTGCAAATAAAGTTGTTCTTCATGTTGCATCGGTCATCATTCCACTGGAACTTGTAGGGGCCCCCAATGCCAGCAGGTGCTGAAGGCTGATGGTACATGACTACACAGACTTCACTACCACAGGAAGGCTCATCCACATACCAGTTCCTGTAGGAAAGGAATAAACAATAGAGGCAAGTGGAGAAACATACCCCAAGACTTCCAAGCCTTTGTTTTCCTATCAGGTTCCACTGGGACACTAACATGATACTTGGCTTCAGAACATAATACACAGAGAGGAGGGATTGAAACACTGCCAATAAACAGAGCCACATACTTTCTAATATGGACATCACAATCAATCATCTGACATTTGCCACAACCTCTTTGCACGGAGGAATCTATTACCATATGATGTCTGCAAAGGAATTATGAGAAAAGGCAGCTAGCAGGGCTGCTCATTTCTTTTTTGCTTTTTGCTTTTTGTTTTGTTTCCCTTTTTTAAGAGATCATACGCATTGAGAAGAGGCAAAATATGTCTCATCCAAAACTTGCTCTGTTTCCATCTTTTTTTTTTTTTTTTTGCTTTTCATTAGCCATCACTGTATGACCCTCCAAAATATAGAGGCTGTTAAGTAAGGTAAGGGGTAGAGACATGGGAAGAAGGACCATTTGGTCTTTTTCAGTTTTTAYATCATTTCCATGTGATAAGGCTTGTAAGCTTTTCAGCCTCCACTACCAGATGTTTTCTCTTTGCCTTCCTAGACCCCTGAAGGGGTGCATTAGCAGTTATCCAGTAAAACCTGGAATTAAATGGTGCTGCCACCCAGTTGGATATGTGGGTGCCAGGTTAAAGACTTGGATAGCATTGAGAGTCTAAATCTGAAGCACCCATCTCAGGTATTAACTCAGGGCTGGGCTTTGTAGTCTGCCTGATCACACCTGAGCTTCTTCCCTTCAGGGCTGGGTTCTTGTCCTGGTGCTCAGACTATTTAGCCAGACACTGCTGCTCTGCCTGGCTCTTGTCAGAGTCCCTCCTGAGTAAAGAGACAGCTAAGAGAAGGAAGGAAGGAAGGAAGGAAGGTCCTTTTGCTCTACTTGAATTTCCTGAACAATAGATAAGCTTGCAGTAAGTATTCCTTAGACATTATGCTGGACAGCTGGGGCCCCTGTCAGGAGCTAGGCTTTGCGCCTCATTAGTTACCTCCATCCTCTTTTCCAAACCCTTTGATACTCCCTACTAGCCTTTTTACATTATTTCATTTCAGGGAGACATGGAATATTATACCTGAATGTAATTTTTGGATTTGAGTCAGTTTTCAAACTCATAACTAACTGATAGAGGGAAAGGCCAGGTTCCAGGGAAGAAGGACTCTGAAGTACCATGGCAGGCACATGTGATAATAATTTCCCCTGTTCTTTCCCCAAAGGAACCTCTGGCCATTTACTTAAATAACCATATGCTGGGAGAGAGGAGTATATCCAAATATTACAAAGAACTGTTTGACACAAGGTATAAGTTGACACTGGTATTCAGACTTGAAGTGCTATTACCCATTTGGAGTGGGAACATATTGGGACCAGGTATTAATAGAGGTCAGCTCACAGAAGGACCCAGCCCGTAGTCATTGTCCCGGTCTCCTCATATATGAATTGAATAGACATATTGGTAGTTGGTATGGTTCCATGTTGGTTCCTTAGGCTATCATAGTGGAGCAGATGAAGTAGAAGCCTTTGAAACTGCACTCCTTCCCACCCCTCCCACCTGAGTTACTAAATCAACAACCATATCTTTAATCCAGGGAAGATGGCAGAAAATGGTGCCCTCCTTAAAGACCTAGAGAATGCAGTGTGATGTTCCTCATCATATCTGTATTTAATTTACTAGTCTGACTCATGCAAAAATCATGAAGATCTCTAAAACTGTAAGCCAAATAAACTTTTCCTCCTCTAAGTTGTTCTTGTCAGTATTTTGGTCATAGCAATGAAAAGCTGACTAACACAATGATAGCACAAACTCAATCAAGGTGAAACCCTGATTTTAGCTGCTGTGCCATATGTGACATCTTTGCTAGAGCAGGCTGATATGCCGTTCAGTACTTAATATGCAGATCTGGTAAACACATTCTTTTCCATCTGGATCAGAAAGAATCTGGAATGGTTTGTGCTTATTGGCAATGGACAATAGTATACTTGTATGGTCTTGACTAAGGCTGCATTGATTTTTCCTACTCTCTGTTGTAATATGGTATGAAGAGGCCTGAACTTCCTAGAAATCTTACAGAAAATCACACTGGTTCACTTTATTGCTGACATTATGCTAGTTGGATCAGATAAGTAAGAAGTAGGTACCACACTAGAGGTATTATTAAGACTCATGTTCTCCAGAGGGTTAGAGATAAACCCTGTGAATGAATATTCAGGAACTTGCCACTTCATTAAAATGTGGAGGGATCTAGTGATCTAGACAATGCCAGAGCATACTTTCAAATAAAAGAACAAACTATTAATAATTTTAGGAAGTAAATTTTATACTTAGCAGGCCTCTTTGGGTTCCAGAGGCAGCATATTTTACACCTAGGAGTACTGCTTTGTGGAATACTGGAATTTGAGGTGTACTGAAATACCAGTGGTGGGAAACATATTCCCATATAGAATTCATGACAACCCTAATGACAGAATCACATTGCAGATTCCTAGGGTTTTATAGCAAAGTCACATCATCTGTAGCCGAGAACTAGTCACCTTTTGAAAAGCAACAGCTACTTTTTTTTTTTTTTTTTTACTAAGCAAGGACCACCAACCAAGAGACCATGAAGCCTGATCTGCCCATTATGAGCTAGGTATTATCAGACACATCTTATCACAACTCAGGTAGGCTAGAATCAATCCTTTTTAAGGTGGAAGAGGCATRTCTATGACCAAAGGGGTGCTATATGAATAGTTAGAGCAGACTGCCATGATATCTACCACTGTTGTTCCAAAGCCTCTGCCTCAGCTCACACTTATGGTGCATGAGAAGTYCCTTATGGCTAGCTAATACAGGCAGCCTGAGCTTGGTTCATGAAGGTCAGTTAAGTATGAGTGAAGAAGCCAAAATGGACAACAGCTGAACTGCAGCTCCACTTGGAGGTGGCCTTGAAAGTCAGTGTGCTAGGGGGACACTCTCTCATTGGACATTGCTTTAGTTCATGCACCTAGTTAACCTCTTTGTATGGAAATAGAAGTTATGGAAGATTAGAATACATAAAGACTCAGGGGAAAAGCAAACAGCATGGTCAGCTGATAAGAATCTAAAGGGAAAAAGACTGGAAGACTGGGGACAAGGACTTCCTGAATAGAATGATCCATATCACTGGGCATAAAATATGATAATTTTCTATCACACGTGAAAGCATACCAGGGAGCATCTATCATGTAAGAGGCACTGAACAGCCAAGGAGACAAATGACTCATTCAGGTAATGCCAGCCAGCTGGTTATCAGTCACCCTAGTACTAGCACACTAGATATGCAAATATAGTAACAATGGAGGCAGAATGGAGGCTATGCACAGATTCTACAGATTGGATCCCACTAATCAAGACTGATCTGGCTACTACTACTGCCAAATGTCCAGCCTTCCAGCAACAGAGGACAATGCTGTGTCTTTGTCATAGCATCAATACTTGAGGTGATCAACATGTCACCTGGTGGCAAGAATACTACATTGGATCCCTGAAAGGGACAATGATTCATTTTGGTAGGAACAGACACACAATCTAGGCATGAGTTTGCCTTTTCTGCCCAAGAACCTTAGTCAGCACCACTATTCAAAGGTGTACATAATATTTAATCTATCAAAACAGGATCCCAAATAACATCTCATCAGACAAAGGCTCCTACTTTATAGCAAAGAAGGTGTGGAAGTAAGTACCTGGCTATGGGAGTCACTTGTCAGATCACATATTGCACCATCTTGAAGCTGCTAGCTTGATAGAGTGATGGAGAATAGCTTGTTGAAAACTTAGCTGAAGTATCAGCTTAGAGGCAATACTTTGGGGGCAGGGCATAATCCAAAAAGAAGTACATTTTAAATCAATGATTTATAAACTTCTGTGCTTCCACTAGTAGAATACATGGGTCTGGGAGCCAAGGGAAGAAAGTGGGAGTCCCATCATTGATAATGGCTCACTCAGGGAATTTGTACTTCTTGTCTCTGCAATGCTGGGCTTTGGGAGTTTAGAGATCCTTAGTTTACAGAGGGGAATAGTTCTTCTAGAAGACAGAGTAAGTCTCATTGAGCTATGAGTCACTGGTTGCCTCTTGGACATTTGGGGTCCTTGTGTCCAGGAACAAGCAGGCAAGAAGTGATGTCATTCTCTTGGCAGGAGGTAGCTGACTCTAATCATCAGGAGGAGGTAGGTTTGCTATTATATATTATGGACAGGGTGAAGACTCTTAGGTTATCTATTTGGGTATCTTTTTGTACTTACTTGCCCAATTTTGATGGCCAATGGAGAAGTCTGTTAACTTCACCCTGAGAAGTGCAAGGTAACTAGGGCCTAACACTATTCAGAGATGAGGATTTGAGTCATGCCACAAGGTCAGTTATTGACAGCAGCAGAGGGTGGGGGAATCTGGACTGGATAGCAGAGGAGGGAGATTGATAAGTCAGTCATGACCTTGGGACCAGCTACAGTGATGTGAAGAGTAATAACCTTCTACTCTTCCTACTAACCATCATCTTTTAAGTGCTTTTTCTTTCAGGAAGAGAAGTCCATAATGCTATTGGAGGAGCTACTCTCAGAACTTACATGAAGTTCAGGAACATGACTAGCATAAAGAGTTGTGATGGATGCTACCTACGTACTGTTTTAAATGTAACAGGTAATTTTTAAAATCTTTACTTTCAATTAATAATGACTTTAAACTTTTTTCTTATATGATTGTATACCAATTAGATTTTCTATTTTGTGAACTATCTGCTCAGGTCTTTTGCTTCTCTATCCTTTGGGGCCTTAGTGTTTACTACTTATATAAACTATCATGAAAATATATTAATTCTGTTAGGAATTTTACAGTCCTATGTCTGTCTCTGAATTTTGATGTTTTTAAAATTTTTAACAATGTCACTGCATGTATAGGGAGGGATGATGACAATGTCATAGTGTCTTGGTGGGGTGTATGAGAGCATCAGTGTCTCGTTGCTGAGGGTTTAGGAGGGTCCTACAAACTGTAGTCTTCCCAAAGTTCCACTCTTGGCCAATCTGTAGAGTTATGTCTTGGTTCTGATTTTCTGACCATTATCATAGTTCTGTGTAGTCCACCGTCCTATTCTGGATTTCAACTCTATGGACCTTCAGTCTCTTAATGGGAGTTCTAGCTATAGCCAGATATCTAGCCAAATGGACAGACTGACTTCAAGGGATAGTTGACTCTAATCATCAGGAGAAGGGTAGGTTTGCTGTTACATATTAAGGACAGGGCGAAGACTTCAAGCATCATGTGTTCTTGACATAATGCTGATGGGCTTGCCCACCTGAGTAGAACTCTTTGGACATCCATGGGGCCCAAGTCAAGGCTAAATTCACCACTTTCACCACACTGTCCTGGTCAATGGCTCTTCAGGTGTTACTACCCGCAGGCCTCTGTCTGGCTGGGTCTCCTCCACTTCCCCAAGGATCTGGCACTGTGGATCCAGCCTGTCTCTTTTCTGAGTTATGTCAAAGAAGTCAGCTCCACATACTTACCTAAATTTTGACATGCTGCCATCAGTCCAAGCATAAAGGTCTTGGCAGGCTGTGCTGTTGCTTCTCTTCTCTTCATGCCTTCTGAGTCCAATCCAGAAATCACCATCAGATGCTGAGAGGTTTTCAATGAACTTTTCTATCAATCTCTGCTCATCTCCAGATTCGATGCTGACTAGGTGGCCCCCATCCCTCCTGCAGGCTTTTTTGGCTTCCTCAAAGTTCAGTCTTCGAGAAGCATCATGGAGATAAATGACTTTATAACAAGGCCTCTGTGTCCCTCCCCGGCAAACCAGCTGCCCTAGAGATAAAAGAAGGCAACCTGTTTCAGTGTACCAGAAATGTATACAAGAGCAAGGAGCCTCAGAGGCATCAGAATGGAGCTACTTCTGGACAGAATTATGATTACTTATCATCAGAAGGTTATGTCAGAGTTCTTAGAGAAAATTAATACTCCTTCCAACATGGAGTTGGGGTGATTTAAACTCTGATGCTCAGATTATGCAAGGACACATGTTTTGTTTGCTCAGTTATAGATTCTTGAAAAGCAGACATTTTTATCTTTTAAGGGAAGTTGATGAAGATTTATGGCTTAAGAATTATAAATAACAATTTTATGCTTTTAGAAAATCTCAGGGGAGAGTGTATAAAGTAAGTATCTCTGTTGAGTGATTCCTTCAGGTAAGAGAGTTGTTCTGAAGTCAGACATGGACTCCTCTACCCTGAAACCTTCTGCCTACGTGCAGCAGAACTAATTTGCTTGGTCTCTGATGTGGGCTGAAGCTAAGTACATGATATCTGTGGGGTTTTCTATTACTGACAGTTCCCTGACCTAAAGACAATAGCTAAGATTTACTGAACTTTTCCTGTGTGCTATCAACTGTGGTAAGGGCTTTACATTTATATATAGACTTTATCTCATTTAACCCTCATAATAGTACCCTGATATAGATGTTGTTTATGTGCCATTTTACAAATGAGAAAATTGAGTCTCAGAGAAATTGAGTAATCTGACTAAGGTCACATAGCTTATCATCAGTATTGTCCAAGTCAGGACCCAGATCTGATTACAAAGTCAAGCCAGTACCTCTCAATTAGACTGCTCATTCCTCACTCTACCCGGGGCTTGGGTTGCTTTGGGAGTCTACTAGTGTGTCTCATATAACTGACACCTGAAGGGCTAAAGACTCCGTCAGACAAATGGATGGAATTCTACTGAGAAGCAAGTAGCAAATTATTCCTTAGCACACATTGCCCTTCCTTGTGTCTGGGTGATTGAAGCCTTGCTGCAACAAAACCTCAGCTTCATTACTCATTTGTTTGTTTTAAAATTTTTTGTCTTTTGTTTCTTTAATTCATCCTCCTTTGTTCAATCAACATGTATTGAGTGTACCTTTCGCTTAGCACTGTTCTAGGTGCTGAAAATACAGAAACAAATGCCAATTCCTAGCCCAGGAGAGAACATGGCTTATGTCTCTGGATCTAAATTATACAAAATGAAAACCACATTTCAACAAAGAGAGTAGTCCCTGCAATGACAGAGCCAAATTGTGGACTGTGGGTATAATGAATTGCTACCACAGAGTAGGGGTAAAGGATTTTATTTGGGGACCTCTTCCCAGACCTTCTGGAATGTACTTGTTTCCCCAACTTGTTTTGCAGTGCTGCAGAGAGCCAGATAGCTTTCATTATTCCTAATACTGTCCAGAATGCAGGGCAAAGGCTGCAGACAGTTAACTACATTATTAGTGCTAAATGGAAAAGAGCACATAAAGATGATTCAGAAAGCTGCAGTGAATTTTTATTTTCTATTTCTCCTCTCATTGCTTTTATAAAGAAATTCTCAAAAAGCAACAAGTTAGAAGAGTCTTACACTTTCCCCCTTTTCCTTCCTTCCTTTTTTCCTTCCTTCCTTCCTTCCTTCCTTCCTTCCTTCCTTCCTTCCTTCCTTCCTTCCTTCCTCCTCTTCCTCCTCCTTCTCCTCCTCCTTCTTCTCCTTCTTCTTTTTTTTGGTTATTGCTGCTAAATAGAGAAGCTCTCACTGGACGGGTCCACCAGCAAATTAAAAGGGCTCTTTTGACATTGATGTTTTCACCAAGCAGGTGTTTCAGAGAGGCTGTGACAGCAGCCAGACTGCCTGGAAAGAAGGCTGGGCCAGCCAAGCCTCTATGATTCCTTAAAGGGGGCTCCAAATTAGGCAGCAAATGAAAGGCAAATGAGCCACTAGGAACACCCCAATCTTGCCACCAGCATAACTGTAAATTGGAGTTGAATTTACTGGCAGCCCTCATTTTTTCCATGCTAGATTGTCAAGAGAAAATGTAACACCTTAATCAAATTTCCTGTATGGTCCAGCCTGGCCACACATCCCAACCCTGCAGTGAGTGCCAGAGAGGGCCAGAGCTGGAAAGAGGCGGAGGGCCCATCTGGTTCCCCTGCCTTCAGGAAGTGTCTTTCTTTTCTCATTTGCAGGAAGGGGAAGAGTAGGCGGGTCTTCTACCCACCCCTATCAACTTCTGAGCTCCTGCAGCCCTAACCCAAGCAGCTCAACTCAGTTACTCTCCCCATTGACTGCCCCGCACTACACCCCATCCTGAAGTCAACCCTAGATGGCTAAATCAGTTCCACAAACTGGGATACCCCCGAGGAAGAGGTTGCCATTCTTTCTCCTCCCTTCCGTTGGCCAAGCCGTCGACGCCCAGCACAGGAGAAAAAGGGCACCAGTATTCGCCCTCTACCCTCCCGCCACACGCAGAACAACTGGAAGAGGCAAAAAGCAGAGCACTGTACCTCCTCTGGGGTCCGAATCCGAGGCTGCTGTGGACACGACACAAGGAAGGAAGCAGACAGAGAGTCATTCCCCGGAGCCAGACGGGGCTGGTCCCACGCTAACTAAGCAGCTTTCCCGATCTCTAAGCGCTCCTATTCCAGCTGCTGGAGCCTGCCATCCTCCCCACAGAGGAGACCGGGAATAACTGGCAAGGTTCCCACAGCACCGCGGATCCAGGATCTCCACCCCGCCGTCTGCGTGGAGGCCTTCTCGAGTGGGAGGTAAAGGGGGTTGGTGAGCCTGCTCCGTGTGGGGTTTTTAGGAACTCTAGAGCCGTGCTCTGCGGAGCTGGCTGAGCTGGAGGGGCATCCGCTGAGCGGGTTCGTCCACTGCCCCACCCAACCTAGTTCTCAGACCCACTAGGGTAACCCTCGGCGGGGAATGGACTTCCAGCATTCCAGGACACTGAATGGCCCCAGGAACCGGTCCCGATCCCAGCTGCGGAGCGATTGCTCTCTGGAAGCAGGAGGTTCTGAAGGCTGGGCCAGGGAGTGCAGCGGGGAACGCCTCCTTCCCCACCCCGTGCAGACTGCTGGGGTGCGGACTGTCCCGGCAGGAGCTCTCGCCCCAGCGCAGGCACTCACCGCTCAGAAGGCGACTTTTCACGCCCCGTGGCCCCGCCAGCAGCACCGCCAGCAGCACAGCCTGCAGAGCCGCTCCTGGCTGCATGTTTCCACTCTGGGTGATGCGTCTTTGGACCCCGGGCGCAACAGTGGTAGAGCAGTCTGACTGGCGAAGGCGTGCGCGACAATTGCAATCATGGTAGTAGCATTTCCCGAGGACCGACGGACCTGGCTCTGAGAGAGGAAAGGAGGGCTCAGAGTCACTTGATCACCCCTCCGCCCCCGGGGACGTCACTGCGGGAGGGCAGCCCCACCAGTTGTCCCGCCTCCGACCTCCTCTTCCAGCGTAGTAGGCGCCAGAAATACTGCCCGCCAGGGGGTAGCTAGCCACTGAGAGGGCCAGATCACCACCTCGCTAAGCTTCCCAGGGAGATCCTGAGTTTGCCTAGGACGCAGGGTGCAGGAGTGAGTGGCTTTTCTGAAATAGGATGAAGGGTGCAGTGTGGCTAAAAATAGTACCATATGTAGTCCTTACTCTCCAGGGCCAGAGCCAGCTTCTCTTAGCTCTGTGGAGTGGGCCAAAGGCAGAGGCAGGGCTCATTATACCTGAGGCTCAGTAGGCCAATCCCAGCCCTCAGGGATACACCCTGGAAAGGAAGGGTGGCTGTGGCGAATGGATGCTCAAGCAGGCAATGTGTCCACTGGTCAGAAAAGTTAGGGGACCTACCATGGATTACCTCCACAGAAGGTGGCAGAGTTGATCTGGCTGAGAGGAGAGTAGTTTCCATCAGAAGCCAAAGAGTGTCCCAGATCTCAGCAGGAAAATGATTCTGCTTCACATTGGGAGGTGGGGATGGTGGATATGGAATCGGGCCTTGGACTGGTAGCAGGAGATTCCCCACTTTAGGAAAGAATGACCCTACTCCCTCTGGAAGAGTTTCCCTAACAAACTTTGTCTTCCATGTGTATTTGAGCTTCTAAACTCCCCCAATAGTTGTGTTTTACAGTGGCTTCTTATAGTAAAAAAGATGTTTAACAATGTTAAAGTAAGCCTCCTACCCAAAACTAAGGCACTAAATAGCAGATAGTGGGTCTAGGTTCTTTGCAGTTTGCTCACAACATGCTGTTTTGAAGCACAGAAGAAGCCTTACCTGGGCCATGAACTTCTGGATTTTGGTCCCAGTTTGCTTCTGTTTCCCTACTCATCCTGATTTTCAGAACAGCAGTCAAAGAAAGCAATAATGCTTTTCAGGCTTTGAGCCACTACAATTCTAAACAATTCTGGACCAAGCTTGGGGTATTTCAGCATCAGTAGAGAACATGGGAAAGTTGTGTAATTGTGGAAAACAGCATCATTAGCAGGATAACACTGACCCTTATGGCAAGTTCATTTATAGCCCTTCTCTATGTCCTGATTAGAACATTTCAGATCCAACACACATTCTTACTAGAAACTCTTGGTTATCTAATCAATCAAAGAAAGAAATGTTATGGTGGAAAGAAGCACTAGAAGTGGCATCTGATGCTCTGTTTTGAATCTTGCTTCTCTTTAATATCTCTGTGGCCTTTGGGAAGTTCTTTTGCCTAAGTTTCATTGAACTCTTGGTAATATTAGTTACGGGTTAAAAGTTTTGTGAGGATTTGGCAAGGCAAATATGCATGTGAATGTGCAGATAGATGGAAACTTAATGTCACTTGGGAAGGATTTATTTCCAATATCAGCATTTTTTTTTACAACTTAAACTATCATTTTGCTCCAAATAATTGTGTCCTGAGTCTTCCCTTTGATAACCTCACTGTTTTAGTCAGTTTTTTCACTGCTGTGGTTAAAACACCTAACAAGAACGATTTTAGAGGAGGAAAAGTTTATTTGGGGGTTCATGGTTTCAGAGATCTCAGTCCATAGACAGCCAGCTCCATACCTCAGGGCTTCAGGTGAGGTAGAACATCATGGTGGAAGAGTGTGCCAAAGGGAAGGGGCTCATATGATGATCAGGAAGGGGGGAGAGAGAAGGGGGACTCCACTCAGCAGATATAAAATATATACCCGAAAGGCATGCCCCCAATGCCCACCCTACCTGTCTTCAGTTACCACTCAATTAATCCTTATCAGGGGATTAACTCACTGATTGGGTTAAGGTTCTCATAAATCAATCATTTCACTTCTAAGCCTTCTTGCATTGTCTCATCACACATAAACTTTTGGAGGACACCTTATATACAAACCATAACACTGACTTTGGTCCAAATTGAACATTGTTATGGTTTACAGTCAACCAAGTGTGGTATATTATAATAATGACTTTTGTTTTTCACATCTCCCACTACCCATACCCTTTACCCTGACATTATAGTTTCCCTTACTAAAGAGGCAGAGGATTCCCTTGATTTTGTGTATAACCATTTGTTTGACTTCTTTGGCCAACAGAACCAGCCAGAACTTTCTGAGTGTAGGCCAGTAAAAGCTTCACATATTTTTATTTGTTCTCTTTCTTCTCTACACTTTGTTGTAGGCACATACCTCAGATATCCTACTGGTCCACAAACATGGAGCAGAGCTGCCTCAGTCAGTTGATAGATTTGTAGTGTGACAAAACTGCTCTAGGTGCTGTAACCTGAAGTAGGGCTGTCTGGCTAAGCCCAGACCAGCCAGATCCCAGCTGACCTGCAAGTATGGAATTGTTTTAGACCTCTTTGTTATGTAGTATTGTCGTAGCAATAGCTAACCATCACAATCTGGCCATATAGGAAGGAAGGCTGGCCATATGGAAAGGAATGCTCACAAAGTGGAATTTTTCTTGATAAAGTTATCTTGGCCCAGAGATCAATCCTTACTCCAACTAGCTCAAACATAATTTAAGAGACTATAGGTTGAGTATCCCTTATCGAAAACTGCTTGAGACCAGAAGTGTTTTGAATTTCAGATTTTTTCATACTTTGGAATATTTGCACATATATAATGATATATATTTGGGACAGGACCAAGCCAAAACACATGGTCTCAAGGTAGTTTTATACAATATTTTTAGTGTACCTCCACCTCAACAGCAAACCCCTTATAAGGTCAATTGCAGAATTTTCCACTTGTGGCATCATGTCAGTACTCAAAAACATGTGAATTTTGGAGGATTCCTACTTTCAGATTGTTGGATTAGGGATGCTGAACTTGTACTATAATTATACACTGAGAAATGTAACTGTCAGGTAAACTGATGTTTATGTTGACCTGTTGAGCATATATTCTTCCATTGGATAGAAAAGATGTCTCAGTGAACATGGAATCAGATTAAAAAGTTTAGGCTTTGGGGCTAGGATTGTGGCTCAGWGATAGAGTGCCTGCCTTGCATGTGTGAGGCACTGGGTTCTATCCTCAGCACCACATAAAAATAAATAAAATAAAGGTATTTGTGTCCATCTACAACTAAAAATACATTTTTAAAAATTTAGGCATTGATAGTTTGCTCTGTTTATCTTCACAGTAGAGATCTAACAGATATATCAATCTGACATGGTACTTTTTATTCTTGATGGTGCTGGTATGGGATTGTCAATTTATAATTTTTAAAATTTCTCCTGTCGAAGCCCAGTTTTTTTAAATTTTTGTTCCACACATTTTTCTCTGGTATAGTTTGGATCTGGAATGTCCCCCAGAGTCTCAGATGTAGAAGGCTTGKTTCTCAAGGCAGCAATGTTCAGAGGTGGGGCTTTTGGGAAGCTATTGGATCATGAGGACTCTGACCTCATCAGTGGATCAGTCCACTGATAGCAGAATGGACTACTATGAGGTGGGACTAATGGAGAAGCAGGTCACTGGGGGTATGTCCTGAAACTTATTTCTGGTGCCCAGCCTCCCCCAGCCCCTGCGCTTTCTTTCTGCCATGAGCTGAGCAGCTGCCTTCTTCTGCTACAACCTTCTGCCATGATGTTCTGCCTCACCCCAAGCCCAAGGCAATGGAACCAACTGACCATGAACTGAAACCTCTGAAACAATAAACCAAACTTATTTATGTAAGGTGTTTTAGTCATAATAACAAAAAGATGACTAATACATTGTCCAAATAGTGATGTGCCAGAAAATTGCTGTTATTCTCCTCTACTTTTTTTGCTTTTTAGCCATAGAGTCCTTGAATTTTAAGTAGGCAGATACTCCTCCCCTCATCTAAAGATTTATTTCCAGCCTCCTTTGCAACTTGGTGTGTTGTGGATAATGGCTGCATCTTAGAGAGGTTATGCCCAGGACTCTGAAGTGAATGATGGTTCTAAATAGAACTTCAAACATGGGCGGTGGGGGCGGAGGTAGAATGTACAACCCTGAGTTGGACTGCCATTTGCACGATGCAGAAGAGACAAAATCTTAACTGTTTCTTTTCCAGTATACACCAAAGTGAATAACTTTTGGTGAGTAGGTTGGCAATGGGGTTATATGCCTGTGTGTAAAACACAGGCAAGCTGAGCTGGTTACAGAACTAGAAGCAGTTCATTTCTGATTTCAAACATGTTCTAAAAATGGAATAAATCACATTTTGAAAAAGAGACTATTCTTTAAAACAAAAAGACTTTTAAGTTTTCAAGACGGCCCTTTCTCATCCTTTTTTTCTTTTCTTTCTTTTTTTCCTTTTACTAATAGTCTACCAGTTGGAGCCATAAAGCCTCTGATTCTTGTTTATGTGATATCTACAATATAGATCAAATATAGAAATTCTGAAAATACTCTTCAAATAAAAATAGTAAATAGGACTTTGAGACTATGTAAGATGAGAAAGGTAATTATGATATGATGTCAAACACAGTAGTATACAATAAAAAAATAGATACAAATACTCAATGACATAAAATTTATGGAAGTCTACTTACTTAACTTTTATTTGTCCATTTTAACCCAAGTATTCAGTAACTGGTAAAATTTATGGAATTACGCACATTTAACTCTCATTTCTTTGTCTTTATTTCCTTTGACAAAGTTAGAAACTTTTTTAGTGATCCCAATGATCCTATGTAAGTGTAGGTTGTTTCAATGTGAAGATATAAGTGAGCCATCTTTTACTCTGTACCAAGCAGATCAGCTCAAGGCTTTGACTTCTTCTTGGTCTTCTTTATCTGTTTCTGATACYTCTTCCCTGTTGGTAATAATATGGATCAATTTCTATACACAGAACTCTATCATTGTGAACATGATATAGCATGAAAACAACTTTGAAAATTTCCCCAATAAAAATTCA